AGCGTGAAGCTGGCTACAGTCAGCTGGCACGCGTCCCCTATGCGAGTGTGGCTCCTGCCAGTGCACCAGACTTACAGATGTGTCTTCAGAGGCGGGTTTGTGCCTAAAGTATAATAACGGCAGTATTGGAGAAAACGACGGCGCGGAACCCAGCGACGCATGTGCCGGCGAGGCCGATTTTCTTAAACGGTCTTAAAAGAGGGACCCCCCCGTGCCTGCAATCTCTTAAACAAGTTCAGCCCCCAAACCTCCTCGTTTCTTAAAAGGTCTTAAAAAAATCCGGCCCTCAGCGGAACCTTAGGGGTCCCCTAATAGTAATACGCGTGCGTCCTTGGAACTTGTGCCCCTCCCGTGACGAAAACGAACAACGCACCAGGCGACTGCCTGAGAACGCGGGATCGAATCGTAGGAGGCACCTAGAGCAAAATTGAGCCCGCTCAGGTGAGAAAAAATTATAAGGGTCAACCTGCCGATTCGATCCGAAAGCCACTCGACCACCGAGCGGCCGACGGCCGAAGTAAGCAGAGTAGATGAATTGATGGTCTAGAGGTAGCGTTCAATCAGCGACCGATACCCGTAACACATTACCGGGGGATTAGACAAAACAGATACGCACAACCGACGCCCGAAGTGCCAAGAAGGACGTCATTAGTACGAAACCTCAGAAGGCCATGGGCGCCGAGAGAACATTCCCCCGAGGGGACAAAAAAAGAAGAAAGAAAAAAGTCGACGCACCCCCTCCTTGCGCAGTGTCCCTCGCTATGTGTCGCCGCGCTATCGGGGCACGCTATCCTGCGCAGGCAGGGCAAGCGGGGGCGGGGGGCACTCCCACAGACGTATGTATCTGTGGTGACTGTCTCCAGTCTCGGAGGGGGGCAAGAAGGTAAGAATATCTAAAAAAATTTTGGAACTTGTGCCCGCCTCCTTCACCCACGAGCTCTAGATACAGTCGTATGCCACGCACGTCGCCGCCTGTGTTTGGGTTTCTATGTTTTCGATTTGGAATTTGGCATTTGTCCAACTCTTTTGTTTATTTATTTATTTACCTCTGCGCGTCTAGACCCCACTGTCACCCGTCCCCTCCGAAGATCGCCTCCACCTCCACCAGCAGGTCCGCCGCGGCCAGCGCCGCCATCATCTCCTCCGCCTCCTCCGCCCAGCCTGGCTCCTTCGCGGCGGACCAAGAGCGGACGACGCCGCGCCCCTTTGTGTGCGCGCCCAGCATCGCCTCCGTCGCCTGCGCCTGGCTTAGCCCGGCCGCCACCAGCGCCGCCTCCACCGCCTCCCGCCTGTTGACGCCGTCGTTGTACAGCAGCAGCACCGCGCCCGCCGCCACGTCGCACCCCGACGGCACGCACCTCGCCGCAATCTCCTCCGCCGCCGCCCTCGCTGTGTCGGAGGAGAGCGCATAGTTGCCGAGCGCGCGCAGCTCCGGGCGGACCAGCGTATTGACGCCGACGACGCGGCCGTCTGCGGTCAGCAGAGGGCCGCCCGACATGCCTCCCGCCAGCGCTGCGTCGGTGACAAGAAAGTCCGAGGCGGTGCCCTTGTCTCGGGCGGAGAGGAT